GCTGATGGCATTTGATAACCTTCTATGCACAATTTATGCCAAGATGTCGTCTTTAAATGGTGAGGAAATGTACACAGAGAAGGATTTACAAAGTAAAGAACAGAAAGCTATCAAAGCTATCATTTTCCAATTGCAATTGCTGAGAAGAAGTCAGTGTACATTTCTTCACCATTTAAAGACGACATCTTGGCATAAATTGTGCATAGAAGGTTATCAAATGCCATCAGCAAAACGTTCAACGCGGCTAAACTCGAAACTGGATTCACATCTAGCTCGTTGATGTATGTACGGTTGAAGGATAGAGTGCTCGATTCTGCTGCCTCTTTCTGCATTTAATCTTTCACTTGCTCCTGTGGTGCAAAGTATATTGGCCGCACTATCATGCGTCTGTCCGAGCGCATCCATGAGCACCACCCTGCGTGGTTGCGAAGTAGAATAATTAAGACGATCACAAGTACGGTCATGTCGCACCTTGTCGACATTAATCCCATTGTCAACGTGACCGACACTTTTCGACCCCTGTACAAAGTTACAACGGAACGGTCTGGACACGTGAGTTTCCGCATTCTAGCCATGGTGGAGGCAGTTCCCATCCGTCTCCACAATAACCCTCTGTGCACACAGAAACAACTTGTGCAAGCACTCAAGCCCCCGGGGCGGGATTGTCGACAAACCACCTTTCATGAAACATCAACGAAAATGATAATTGGGGACCAACTGTGATACAAACTGTTGAATACTTTAACTACTTTCCATTTTTCCCATGTAAATCCTTCGCTGTTGCTAGTCGTACTTATTGTGTCGTAACGGCATGATTAAGACAAACTGAAAATGAGCTCGTTGACCAAGTTGTGTTCTCATTATGAGCTCTAAGGGACTGTCCAAACATTTCAAATTTAAGTAACCGAACAAGCTTCCATGTGTTGTAGTAAAGTGGATTCAAAACGGTACTTGTCATATGTTCTACACAACAGAACAGATACATCCCGGTGTTTGATTAGATAGAATGTATGCGGAAGCGACTAGAAAGCTGCCATTAATCGATTGATTTTAAATCCTCGGGATCAATTTGACTCTTTTTCTATTCTCACTATACGGAAAACCTGAGCTAACCGGTGGAAATGTTTGTGATATCCGAGAAACAGCCCTGGACAGCTGTTTCGTCCTTTTTGGGATACATTAGCAGTGCGTCCTTTTTATCTTGTATCGCTGTCAGGACTCAAACCGCGATCAGTCGCGTCGGGACTTCAACCCCTTACCACTGAGCTACCCGGTCGACGGTTACCACCTTGTGCCAATGGCTCAATCAATTTAGAGTATCAAACTTGGATTAGCCGATTCGATTGTTCAGAGGCACCAGGCACTCTTTGTTAGTTATCACACAGATTTCCATCACATTTGAATGCGTACAGACAGTGGGGAATCAACGATCTCCCAAGGAGTGAAACCCACGTCGAAGACCATCAAGAGTGCCTGGTGCCTCTGAACAATCGAAAGGTCTAATCCAAGCTGGATATTCTAAAATGCACTAATCTGGTTGCACATACATTGGAACTAATAGTTGTGACATGTGACCAGCTTCCACACTGACTATACGCAACTAAAATCCAGTGGAAAGTTGTTCATTTTATATGTACCCGGTCCGATGGGAAGCTTTGAAGCTGAGTTTTGAGGTAGCATAACCTATCCCTGTTTGACAGTGTCTGACTAACGACGGACTCATATGGTTTTAATTGCCAACCATATTGATTTGAACGGCTGTTTCTTGCCAACCTTGGCTTGAGCTATTTGAAATGTTGGTGCCACTCACAACCCATCCATGACAGTAAAGACCGGAATTTCTAATCCCCGTTAAGTCAGTGGACATGCAACACTAGTGAGCCTTGAAAAAACCGAAAGGTGAATCTAGTGCCTCCTCTGTGTGTGTGTGTGTGTGTGGCTGATTGGCTGAGCAAAGGGTGATGCGCGAAACAGTAGTATGAAATGTGTCAACTCAACAGTAATCTAAATATGGTCCAAGACTCTGCCACCTGGAAACAATGTTCGCTTCTCGTGAGATTTACAAACTTGCCACAAACTGTCGTTTGGTATACATCAAGTATGTTTTTTCAATGGTTATAAACTTGGCCAATAAACTTACTCAAAATATTCTGCTTCAACCCATTGACAAAGTTCCTTTTTTTCCAAATATCCATCACCATTGGAATCGAAGAAGAGGAAAATTCGATTCACATCTTCCTCTGTCAGATAACCAATATTCCCTGCCAACAATTCACTTCTGGACAGTCTTCCATCCCCATTCAAGTCCATTGCTTTCATCATTCGATGAACCAATTTCTTTATTTCGTGTTTAATGCACCGACTGAAATCGATGGAAAATATGTGCAGAAGGCTAGCAGTTTCAATAGATAAATAGTGTTTGAGTATCCTGGATCTCTCAAATCCAATAATTAAACAATTTCCGTAAATCTATTTTCTTCTGTTGTTGCTTCGACTATTATTTAAATCACTGTGGGGACCGAGTTTTTCTATTATAAACTATTGATAACTTAGTGTGATAATGCATGAATGCTGTTGGTATGGCCTCGTAGATCACTTGTTTATCGATAAAAGCCTTTCCACACAACAATAAAAATAGGAATTTAGAATCAAAAACCAAGATTCCGTCTATTTAAAATCGATATCAAACTCAATTTAAAATCAATGCACCGGAAATTAACTCACGAATCTTTCTGAGTGGATGGACAGCACATGTGATTGTAAAGGAGGAGATCAAATGTTCACTTATTAATAGTGCTTCCATAACTCATCATAATAAAGTCGCTCAAATATGTTCGATTGTTTGCTCAACGTAAAGTGAAAAAATGGTGCGATATATCAAATTTCAAAGTATCGTAGTGCCGGATTGATCATCGTCCGTGATTTATCTATGCTTTGTTTTTGCTGTACCGTCCACTGATGGTTGAAAGCAATTCCACTTCTTATTGAACTGGCGACATTTGCGATTGTCTTTGTTCTTTTACTGTGTGCCAATTGATTCCCAATCAGACATTATTAAATCTGGTTGAATTCATACATACAATTGATTTTATCACTGTTTCGGAAGCGCTGTTCTAAAATAAAGCACATACGTAACACGAAAAGCTTATGATTAATTCAACCGGTTACAATCACCTAGCATGCCAGTGATGAATAGGTTTCACACGGGTTGTTTAATCAATCGGTCAAATGAAAACGTACGTGGAATAGATCCGTTATAAATGACATTTTCGAGTACCACCGCGGGATCTGTGAGAGAAAACATAACATTCAACTAGTATCTCATTATTCAAATATTCTAAGTGTAATTAACATAGTACTTATAACTTATGTAAGGGTAGTGTCTGCATTGCAATCAGGCTTCGCATAGCGGATAGGAAACAGCGGGGTCGAGAGGCTTTCGATAAGACTCGCGAAACAGTGTTTTATTTTCACCGTGACGCCAACAAAATAGGTTATCGTCAAGTTACGATACATTCTTATGTTCGTGTACTGGGATCGAGTAGATGGATAAGAACGACAAAAAAGCAACTGTCTGTGCACAGGACAAATGTGACCAGCAAGAATCCCATGCACAAACGTTTCACGAGAATTCCGAAGACGTTCTTACAGAATGCTTGTCATCTTCCCGGAAAGAGCGCGGAGAGAAATGACAAACCATGATCAGTCCAAGTCCGAGCCGCTTTAATTCTTTCTTCAAGAGACAGTTGAAAAGACCAAAGTTGAACAATAAAGTAAACAAAAACTGACGCACTAATTTGTAGGTGATACACTAATGAGTTCTAAAATGATCAAATTTACAGATTTGAGAATAACTTTCATGCTTCGTAACGATATGTTGAATGTGGGCGATTCCTTGAAGGGTTTCATCGCAAAAATAACCCAGAGTTTTCATACGGCTTACCGAGACTGGATCAAATGAGAAATTGGGACGTGATAGCCAAAAGAGATATTCAAAATATTTAGCGGGGACAGGGGGTGAGCGACCACTATCAGAAATGTGTAAGAGATCAGAAGATTCGGATATAGGAGCCTGGCACAAACGGAGTCAACAGCGTATTCCAAAATGTCACTCGGAGGGGAGGGGCGGATTTCAGATAAATCTCTAATATATCAAGAAAATAAGCTTAGCAAAAGATGGCACTTCAGATTACCCCGGATTTCTTTACCACTGGATGGGGTAACTGTAGACAAATATTTGCAGTACATGGTTCTAACACGGAACATTCAGAATGACAATCGATTTCTTCCCATTGTTCATTCACTCTCGATTCAAGGATCACACCGGTCCGTTGTTGTGTGCAACCCAGGAGAATGATCATGCGGAGTGTCATGCCCATGACCGAAGCTAATTGATAAGAACAAAGGATATTCAACCGACTTTTGATCGCTGCATTTCCCCTAGAGAACTCAGAGCTATCTGGATCAAAGTAAAGCGTACTGGGTAAAATGGAAACGTTATGGGACTTGGGATACAATAACAGACGAAATTTCCTACTGACAAGATTGGGTTTGTTTCTGAATGAAAAACAATCCAACACCAAATTGAAGTGCCCTTTCTGTATCGCAGCATAGATCACATCATCATGCAAAGGTCAACTTATTCGAATTGAAGTACACAATTTTGGATTAAAAATTACTTCAATATTTTCTGATATTCTTGTTTTACTTTGCATATGGAGACTGGGAATATTGTAGTGTGGGTTGAGCTGGAATACGTGTCGCTGTTTTCATGTGTTCCTCCACAGATTCGGTTCTGCATTTCCTAGCATTCAGGTAAGATTGTCATGTGGGTTAATTTCCGAATGGCCAGTGTTCTCCTGTGAGGGAGATGTGAATTCATGTATTCTTTTTTCCTTTTCTTTAATCACTTTGCTTCCCTTAATTGAATATATACAAAGATAAAATTTTCAGGAGTGGGGAAGCGGCCAAACAAACGGGGCTGCCATTCAACACACACAATGGGGAAAGTTAGGCTGTAGTGGTGGGATTCAAACACATCCGCCGGAGTGATAATTTGGTTATGTTACCACCAGGCCACCGCCTTTTTTAGAACGGATTTATGGTAACGGTGAATAATTTAAAAGCCTTTAATTGGCTGTACAAAATAGGTCTGCACGCAAACCGAACTATCGCCGATTCGATGGGTAATAATTATTCTGTAGTGATCCCAAAACTTTCACCATTTTAAAAAAATATCCGGAGCTGAAAAGATTGATATTAGGCTTTCTAACCCAAAATGTGATTTTTATTTCATAATTCTTCACATGCCCTGGATTCATGGATACGAACAAACGTACTCATACTGTCCCGTTTTCACACACCCACTCCACACCATAATACCGGCGAGTAAGTGCCAAGTCACACAGATAATATCAGAAAAAGGTGATGCTTCCTCTGCGGCGTGGGCGTTATATGCACGTGAACCCATGTAATTGTGTATTCAATACGACATGATGTGAGCTAAAATCCAATCCCCGTCCACGCCCTACCATGAATATTCTTTATTTACACAGAAACTGTACATTTCTCGGTCTATTGCGGTGACATAAGCTCATTGTTAGTACCGATGTGTGAAGAATTAAACCAATGAGTTATAAGTTATTACTTAGTAACACAGCATTCTAAAGAAACGTAGCAGGGAAGGATTGGTTACTTCAGTGAATGACCCCGAAACAAAACTCACACCGCAAAACCGAATTACGAAGAATGAAATAACACGAGGAGGTTCTGCTGTCCAGATGTCCCTCAGGTAGGTCTCAATTCGACCGCAATACACATAACGAGCGGTAGTAAGACCATTATTATTATTAAGAATTACGAAAAAAATGATAAACTGGTTCTTCGAGTGAACTGCAAACTCACGGTAGAAAATCAGGCTGGTTATATGGTGTTACTGTGGTTCTAGGTGTTCATATACCAACTTCGTCGATTGTGTGAACTGCATTTCTCGGTGGTTACATCAATCAATTTTAATTGTACCCGAGAAACAATTGATTCTGACTAATTGCATGCTCTTACTTATCGTCAAATTCCCCTTAAGGAGCCTAGGGCGGTTAGAAGGGGGCGACAACTGGCATGCATGCATCTGATGTTGTGAAGTGCGAGGATTTTCTAACTATTTGTTGCAACATAAAGCGGTGATAGGAATTCTTGTGTGCCGCCACCAAAACAAAGCGAAACGTTTTGAACCCGTTGTGTGGATACCGTAGCTTATTTTCTTGATTTTATCAACTGGGAGAAGAGTGAAAGCAGTTGATTATCAAGTGTAACATAAATTAGATCAAATGATTGTCGTCGATAACGTCATATCGTGAGTTCAGGCCAATGTGACGTTATTAGGTCGGGTGGATCACACACTATGATTACGTATTGCTTTTTGTTTCATCCGTTATAAGTAAAAATAAATGGAACACGATTTTGTTTTATACCATTTTAAATAATAATAGTAATCAGAAATGCTCCATGTATCAGAATAAACTACTGATCACCTACGTTATTCAATAGGCGGTATCGTAAGCTCCATTATTCAACACATGGAACAGAACGGTGAATGATTTACTAGCTGAGACAACACACACTGTTCGATATCAATTTGATGACGAGTCGAATGATATATATATATATATATATATATATATAGAGAGAGAGAGAGATAATGATGATATAAATAAATACGTGGAATATTCATCATGCCAAATTTTACAGAGGCACAGTAATATCGATTTTCGAACTCTTCAAGTTTGAAGGCGTAGGCGCCGGCCGCTTACTTTCTAAAGACGTTTACGGTAAAAAGAAAACAACATAGTATTTCATTGTCTCGAAGATGAAAGTCTATCGGTAAGACAATTACTACAGTGATGAGTATTGTAGTCCGCGGCGGAAAAAACCCTAATTGAATTGATGTAGCGTGACTTACGGCAGCTGGCTAATCATGACTGAAGTTTTGGACTTTGTTAAACAGCCTCAGGAGTGATCCAAGTTAGAGTACTCGCAAAGCCTTTTCGTTTTAAATTTGACTGTTTTAGATGCTGACGAAACGAAATCGATGGCTGCCAAATGTCTCCAGTTCTTTTGGTTGCTTTATGTGGCCGGGATAATTCACCGTGTGGTGAGCGATACTCGTTGAATTCAAATTACACAGCAAGGGTATGGAAACATTGCGACGCTCGTGACACAGGAGCTTCAGCGAATTTGTGGTTGTGAGATACACAAACAATGACACTGAACCAGCTGGAGTGTTTTGCCAAATTCCTTAGGGATGTACTTTTCTGAATAGTGAATATATTACAATATGCTTGTTTGTCAACGGTAAATCCGAAC